TGACCATCAGGAACAACGACAACTCGGACTGTCCCATCAAGTACCCAGACCCCAACAGCAAGGAGTACTGCGAGTGCGTCGTCGGCCGCGCTGACAACTTCGTCTGCAGTACGTACCACCTCTCAACCTCCCCCCATCACCATCACGAGAGTGGGAGCCATCATGCTCATGGTGGGTGCTGTGGTACTAGTCGTGGGAATGGGCGTTGGAGGCGTTGCCTTTTGTGTCTCCCGCAGTGACAAGTACACCCTTTTCATCAGCTCTTGACACCACCGTACCCATCGAGCGCACAAGCACCCCTAGGCAAGCGCCGTCCGCTTACAATTGTATCGAGTTGTTTGAGACACATTGGCCAAATCATAACCTTTATCTTCAACGACCAACTCGGGAAATTCATGATGGGTAGAGTCACACTAGAGTCCGGGAAATTCTGCCTAAAGTTCTGCCTATCTGGTTTGCGATCTCAGTACTATGTCCACTATATATTGACTCCTCTCGTTTTTCCCTTACTCTCACCTGCCTCCACCATAAATACTGACCCAAAAACCAACCCCGCCCAACACCAAGCACTTATCACCAACAACCAGCCACGACCATCATAATGGCTTCGACTGACACCAACCACAACAACAAGAAGAGCACCGCCAACAAGAAGCTCGACGATGCCAAGCTCACGCTCGAGGGCGTCAAGGACAAGCTCGTCGGCGGCGTCAAGCAGACCGTGGGCCACCTGCTCCACAAGCCCGCCCTCGAGTCCACCGGCCGCCAGCAGCGGCTCAAGGCCGACGGCGAGCTCAAGCACCACCGCCCGCTGCAGGCCCTCACGCCGGCCCAGGTGGCCGAGGTGCACATGCGGCGCGAGGCCCTCATGGCCCACCTCGTGCGCACCGGCGGCTTCGCGCGCATGACCGCCACCGGTCGCCTGCGCCACGTCGCCCACGTGCGCGAGAGCCAAGTCGCCGAACTGTTCAACTCCCGGGAGCCGTTCGCGCTCAAGCGGTGGAACGTACGGCCGCTGCTGGAGGACATTCGCCAGTGCAGGACCGCCAGGCCGCTCGTGCACGTCGCCACCATCGAGAAGGGCCTCCTGCGCTCCATCAAGCTCACCGCCCACGACTTCAAGCTCCAGCGCTCCGCCAAGTGGGCCGACCTGCGCATCGACATCAGGCGCGGCGGAGACAACGCCATGGCGCGGCTGGTCAAGGTCAAGGCCGAAGACAGGCGCGATCGGTCGGCGCCGCGGCTCGAGCTGCTGCGGAGCGTGGCGGCGGCGCAGGCCCAGCGCGGCGAGGTGCTGCGGCAGATCGGCATCGAGCACAAGATCCTCCACCACGTGGAGACCGACGACAAGGCCCGGCCCGAGCTGGTCTTCGCCAAGGCCCACGCCAGCGAGGTCAACCCCATCGGCCCCAAAGCAGGCTTCCACAAGGCGCAGCTGCTCGATGCGGTGAGGCAGAGCGCGGGCGGCGGCGCGGGCGGAGTGGAGCTGAAGCACGTGGAGACGGAGGACAAGGCCAAGCCGGCGGTGGGCGACGAGGTGAGCGTGCGGCGGTGGAACAAGGAGGGCTTCCTGTCCGAAGTGCGTCAGGGCACCCCGCTCCGCCACATCTAATCGAGACCATGAGAAATCATCACCACACTCTCCTCACACCTTCAACCAACCAACCAACCAACCACGAAACCATCAATATTTGATGTCCATCATTAAAATAAATAAATAAATAAATCTAAAACAAATGACCATCAAACCTCTCTACTGGGGCGGCTGGCCGCCACTGCTCGGTCGGAGCGTGCCCGTGGACCACCCCTGTGGCTTCGGCGGCGGCTGCGGCCTCATCGTCGCGTAGGGCGCTGACGCCGGCGACTGCGGTTGCTGCGGAGGCGCGAAGGCTGGGTTGTGGCTGGGGATGGTCTGATGGAGCACAGGAGAACCGCCACCGCCTACGCCCGACGACGACGAACCCAGCGACATCGACCCGAACGCTGCCGTGGGGTAGCCATCGGACCCGGGCGGGCGCATGGTGGCGTAGACCGGACCACCGCCGCCGGCCGCGATGAACGGGTTGTAGTCCGCCGGGACCTGGTTCTGAATCGGCATCGAGCCGTAGGGCAGGGTCGGGTAGAGCTGCGGCTGCGGCGGCATGCCGGCCATGGGGGCCATCGACTGCGGCGGCGGCGGCGACATGTAGGTCAGCTGGCCCGGGTAGGCGCCCACCATGACCGGCGCGCCGGTGGTTGGGTCGATCAGGATGGTGCCGGGCGGCGGCATGCCGGTCGGGTAGGGCGCGGGGGGCGCCGCCGGTCATCGGGAGCGGCTGCGGCGGGCCGTTGTTGCGGGTCTGTGACGCGGAGGAGCCCAGCGGGGCCACCCGGGTGCTGTCGGCGTCCAGTTGCGGCGCCGCATCGATATCTGCGTTCCGCATACCATCGAGTGAGACGCACGCACACACCGCACACACCGCACACCGCACAAAGGCCTGC